TCTACCATTAGAACATTACTGCAATTCCTCAGTGGCTCCAAAACCCACTGCCAAAATAGAGAGAAAACAAAAGATTTCTATTGGGGGCAATCTATTAGTTAAGTTAATTAACAGAAGACTTTGTTTTAACTTAAGGGTCTGAAACTGATAATGTTTGTGAAGGTTTCAAAAACTTTTACAGAACATATCTTTTTTTTTAAACAACTTCAGAAATTATATGCACTGAAGGCATAACAGAATATTTTAACTGAAAAGGTCAGTGCTTACAAGTTAAGAAATTATTAATTTAAAGTTGTCTGTGGGATAGAAGTTTGACCCTATGATGTGTGTGTCCTATAATTATGTGCTCACACACTGGTTTTCAGGCACTGAGGGCTCATCTGTGCACCCTGAAACTTCTCTTGGTGTGACCTGGACACACCATCCATACACTGTGCACCTCTCATTATTAGTTGCCTTTTTCACTTTCTCCTCTTCGCTCCTGCTCTGCTCAATTAGCAGGCTGTGACTGAACAGTGTTTAACAGTGAGCAAGAAGCCTGAAGTTAAAGGAAATTTGCCTTTAGAAAAGGAAAATGGGAAGAGAACCAGAGCATCTAATGAGAGAGATGCATAAATAGGTCAGTATTTTACTGAATCACAGAGGAACAACCAGGACACTGCTATTTTCTTCTTTAGATTCATGACCAGGACAGCAAAGTGGTGTCAAACATCAGAGGGCATTTGGATGCCCCCAGTAATAAGCAACTGGGACTTTTTTGAGGAGTCAGGTAGGACTAAGCTGCCAGATAATTAGTGAAAGAACTGTTTTATTGCCATCAACTACTGCTACTGGTACCAAACTGAAAATTAAAAAAAGCATTAGCTAGTCAGTGTTTTCATTTCACTTCAGCAAGCCTGAAGGATAAGGTAAAAATCAGATCAGAGCACTCCAAGAGAGACAAGATTTGTTACTCTATGCACAGGTTCTCCAGACTTCCTGAGCTGGGATCAAACCAGCACTGTGACTTTTCTAGTAATAAACATTTTCAAGAAAGGAACTGAAAAAAAGCAACTTTTATTCTCCCCTCTTTGTCTTTTCAAGTCTAATTTTTCCTCTTTTCATGTTGCTCCTGAAAAAGGAAGAAAGAAGGAAAAGCAAACACAAAGGGAATAAAGCAAAAATTAAACTCTGTTCCTGCACTTGGGAGCAAAACAACACTCTGTGGCTTTAAACAACGATTTTCATTCAGTGAGGAACTAAATTCAATTTTAGTCTGGTGAGGACTGAATTTCCTGATTATCTTTCTTGCAGGTATAATGCTCTGCAGTAAGGATTTCAGTCAAAAAGGAGGGGGAAAAGAGAAGTAGCTGTTTTGTGTGAGATCCCACAGGCTGTTGGAGAGCCTGAAAAAAGCTGCTCCCCATCAAAGGGCTTCTGATGGCTCTCACTGCACTTCCCTTTGAGCTCTTGTATCTCCACAACTCTCCTCAGTGCAGCCCAAAGCACCAAAAAAAAAAAAAAAAAGAAAAAATTTGTGCCTCCACTTCCACAGCAGAATAAACCCAGAACGTAGGGAAGCCATTGTAAAGCTAACATGAAATTTAACATTACTGAAATAATTTAATTCATAAAATTGGAAGATATACTTTCTACTTGGGTATTTGCTTTTCAAGGGGGAAAATATAGCAAAGACCAGCAGGGAGCACAGCTTGGCCAACACCCACAGCTGGCAGCAGAGTAACCCTGCAAACCCAGAAGCAATATCCTGAATTAGGAGGGGGATTGACCCCTCAGCTTGTGCCTTCCAGCTCCATCTTCCCTTGCCTGGAGATGCATCATTCTGCCCTAAGTAATGCAGGCAGCAAAAGGAAGGTCAAATGACAACTGCACTGGCCTGAAAACCTCAGCATGTGCCTCAGAGCCCCGTGGTGCCCCTGTAAAGCTTCCAACTCTCCTGGAGATCCGACTCCAAGGAGGCAGTTTCTAGGAAAAATATCATTTTTTACTGCTCATTCGGCAGCATTAGGAACACCACAGTGGTATTGATCAGGAAATAATCAGAGCTGTAGGATCTGCTTGGAAGAGGTTTAAGATAAATCTCTAATTATACAGAGTTTAACTGCACTCACGAGATTTCAGAAACTATAGAGCCCCCTGTCAGAGGCCCTTTGAACCACGTGGTCGAATCAAGGTGCCACTGACAGACACCGAACCTCCAGCAGAGGCGTTGCCTGCATTCACCTGACCCAAAGACACACCCTTTGGTTGACTTTCTGCCCCTTCTAACCCACCAATTTGCGGAGGGAGAAATCACAGTGCTGACAACAACCAGACACCTTGGAGAGGCACAGCAAAAACCCCGGGGGATGGCTCAATCACCCGGCTCACAAGGCAGATACATTCAATTAATCCTACTGCTTAACACGAGAAACAGCAAACCCTGTGCAGAAGCAGAGCATTAATCAGTAATTTCTTCAACAGGCTTGAAGAGAACAATCTCCTGAGTAAAATGATGCAGCAGCCCAAGGGTTAATGGCAGTTAGGAAAGGATTCAGTGGATACCCTTGGAGGAGTCAGCCTGGTAATTGTAGTGCAAAACCCCGGCTGGGTGACAGCCAGTGGACATGTCACTGCTCCCCCACGGGTCACCTACCGGCAAAATATCTTTATGCTTATGAATATGGTAAGAGAAAACCCAGGGCAAGCCTCAGGTCTTGACTGTTCCCAGATATTACAGTAGTGGAGAGGAGAGGAAAAAAAAACAAAACTCACGACTTTAGAAGTGTTTTCTTGAGCAGCCGCAGCAGCCGCTGCGAGCTCCAGCGGGGTCACGCGGGACTGTGGGTCCCCCAGAATGATGGGGGAAATCATCTAGGGCTGAGATTACCCCCAGATGGGCGGGGGGATCACCCAGGGCTGCTTCTCCCCCCAAAAGACCGGGGAGCTCTGCCAACCCTCGCTGCTGCGGCCCCGCGGGCGGCCGAGAGGTGGAGCCACTCATTCATTATAAATGGTGCTGACCAGAAAAAGAGAAGATTTTTTAAAATTCATCTTTTTTTATTTTTTTAATTTAATCTAAAGCCCAAGTACTCCAACAACTATTTTGTACTATTTTTTATTTCTAGAAGAATAACCCCACAGCTGAGGTGAAACCTGGACATTCCCTGCACACAACCCTGCAGAAATGCACTCCCCCAACTCCAGCAGCCTGGAAGCACAGTGAGGAAATTCAGGAACGGGTCCCACCGAGAGGCAAAGTAAAAACACCCGCGGGCCGGCGAGGGATGATGGGAGCCTGTGTCTCCAGCTCTCCCACTCCTGCCTTTTGGGCTGACCTTCAGGCTCCAGAGTTTAGAGGAGCACAGAAGCTTTACACACTTAGACAGCAGATGTAGCAAGCAAGGGGTGCAGACTCACCTCTGGCAGAGGCAACGTTTTGAATTATAATTTTTTGGCAGCAAAAAGGACCATGAACTTCTCCTGGCCCGGACCACGAGGCTCAGGCTGCCAACTGAAAGCCTGGCAGGTAACAACCTACCGAGCTGCCATGTCCTGCCCCACTCTTCTGGCATGAAAGGCTTAAGGATTTTCAAAAGCACTTGGTGAGCAAGATAAGATGCCCAACACACAGAGCCCTGCTGCCTCTTGCTGCTCAGGAACCACTGAAAGGCAAACTGAATGTCTACATTCCTCTGTCCACTCCAAACAAAGCTCTGTGTGGTTGTACACGTACCAGGTGGGGTGTGCAGATGGTTTTGGGGTTCAGCTGGCACCAACTCCATCCCAGAAGTGCCTGGAGCTGGATTGCTGCGACAGCACAGTGTTATTGATCCACGAGATGGGATCTACACGTTCACATGGAGGATGAACAAGAAGGACCAGTAAAACATGTGGGTTGTGCTGACAGCCAGTCATCCACTCCCACTACCTTTCCAGTTAGAGCAGGGAACAAACACAACACCCACCTGCAACACAACACATACCTCAGGGGGACCCTTTACAGCGATCCACATTAAAAATAATAATAATAAAAAGACACTATTTAAAGAGTTCTGATGCCACTGGTAATGATCACTGACAGTGATCAGCAGCACTTCCACCCTGACCAAGAAGAGAAAGGTCTTGCTTCCAACCTCACGGAGAAATCAGGAGAGCTGGCAGCTTATACAGGAGCTTCCCTCCTGACCCACTGCTGGAGGCAGCCCAAGTCCTGACGCTGCAGCATTCACCTTTGCTGATCTCATTCCCAAACCTACCAGGCTCTTCCCAATCCTGCAGAGGCTCTGTCTGCTCATGCGCTGCAGTCAGGGATAACTACACTCCGTGCCATGGCACTGCTCTGCCTGCCTGAGAAGTAGCAGAACCCTCCCCCAAATCTCTGTCCTCAATGAGAAGAGCTCTTTCTCCAGCCCCCAGCTCATTCCCTGCCTGTGATGTGACTGAACTCCCCCCAGATTGGCGCAGTCCCTCCAGGGAGCACAGTGCTCCCAGGGTGGGTTTCACAGCACAGCAAGGGCTGGTTGCACAGGGCAGGGCTCCCAGTCCTATGCCCACTTGGGTTCTTGCCCAGGCTCCCTGAAACTGCCTGTGTGACAGCAGTGGGAGAGTGGCAACTTTAAGAGTCTCAGCATGCCAAGCAGATACGGGGATTATTTCTACTTGGTGACTTCCCAATGCCACACACACACTCCTTGCAGAAATCCCTTAAAGTTGACTGCTTCCAAATAACCTGTACACATCACTGGCCCCAAAGACGACACATGAGGAAATGCCCTTACAAAACAAATCCTTGCGTTTCAGCCCAGCAGAGCTTCCAAGTGCACAGTGAAGCCAAGACAAACACGGCACTGCTGTCGCCTGAAAACGTACGTGGTTTGAAAATCCCCATTGTTGCTCCGTCCCAGAAAATGATTCATCCTCCCCGCGGGGTTGTGAGTTGCCTCCGCACATTTCGCAAGGCTGCCTGGCTTTATAACAGCCTGGCTGCACAGGGTGACTCCTGGCAGATTTCTCAGCTGGGTGGAGAGCGAGGAGGCAGCAGTTCCTCCTTCCGACGATGATTTTCCTCCTGCAGCATTTCTTCCTGCTGGCCATAGACTTGGTGCTCGCCATGACCCTTTCGTGCCTCTTCTATGCCATCGCCTGCGTTTCCATCGCCTTCCTGACCTGCTTCATTCTCATCTTCTCCTTCGGCACCGTGGAGAGGAACATCGACGTGAAAGGAGAGCGGTCGTAGTCCTCGTGTCCAACAGTTCCATTGGGAGGATGTTTGCAAGGAACCTGGATAAAGCAGGGTTCAGGGTGTCTGCTGCGCACTGGCCCGCCCGAGAGAAGGGGACAGCCACGGAGGAGTGCTCCTCAAACACGGAGGTGGCCCAGCTCCACATGACTGAAGACGAGTATCAGAAGACAGTGAAAACCTTCATAGAAAGCCACTTATCCCTGAAAGGTAACTTTTATGGCAAACTTGTGGATTGTGCTGACAGTAGAAGTTAAAATGCACAAGGTTGTGAGATCACTGTAGCTCAGCAAACGAGGGAGGCAATACTGCTTTGGAAAATGGTTATGACACTCTAACTGCATTGCAGTTTGTTGTGCAAAACAAAAATTTTGCTTTTTCCAGGGGAAAGAGCCTGCTTTAGTGGCTGTGAAAGGCCCCAGTAGACCCCAGTCCCTGGAGGAAGGCAAGGTAGGCCAAGGAACAAGGGGGAGAAGGTCCTGCCAAGGCACAGAGGGCTGGACTCACCTTGGGAAGAAAACACAGGGATGAACAAGGGGAGAAAAGACCCAGACAAGAACCTGAGATGAAGCAAAGTGTCTGATTTTAAACCTCTTCTGGATTAAAAATCCTGAATTCCCTCTCAACGTCTTGGCTACTGTGGGATTCATAAGAAAGAGTCAGGTCAGAACTTTGGCTGGCAGGTTGGGACAGACTCTTTGAACCACACTGCCATCATTTCTGTGGGGATATGGGACTGAGAGCAGCCTGCAGAGCTCACATGGGACAGCACAGGACAAGAGTCCTGCTGAGGGGATGGCTGTAGGCACTTCTGCCAGGGAATCTCCCTGGTTCTTTCTCGGTATGACATGAAGGGTGCCAATGGACAGGCTGGCTTATGCCCCTGTGGAGTTACCTCTGCTATCCAGGAGTCTCTCTCCCCACAGCCGTAATTTTACACCTCTTGGGAGTGACAGGAAATTCAGCCTCAGCCCTCAGGGCTGTAACTTCATTGCCCTCAGGGCTACGGGGTTACAAGGGAAGAGGCCAACCCCTTTCTTCCACCTACCTAAGGGAGCTGTGAGCAGCAAAACTGTGTTCCTCCATACTGCCTCCTTCCTTCTCCATCCCTCTCCTCCTTGCTCTTCTCTCTATGGTTTCTCCAAGGCTCCCTCTGAGCTCTCCCCAGGGCAGCCTCTCTGCCTGCTCACAGAGCTGGGATCTCTGAGAGCATCCACATGACAAGCAAGACCCTTTCATTGCCGCCCAGCACTGAAAGTTTTCTTTGTGCTCCCAGGCCCTGCAGAGGAAGGACATTTTGGAAGTCCGAGCATGCACCACGAAGCCTCTCCTACTGCAGCTCCCCTTTGGAGGGGCAGTAGGGAACCTCAGCCAACACCTGCTGCTGGCTGCAGCTATTCAGGACCCAGTGGCCCAGGTTCTCTCACACTGCTTTTCTCTTCAGAAGCTTCCAGCAGACCTGCAGTGCCTGTGATGAGATCCTGTGCAACTCTGCGTGGCCCAGGATACATCCCCCCATCACAGGCAGCCTGCAGGCTCCAGGAACAGGTCCCTGCACACCAGCAGCGGGTTTCAGACTCAATGCTCAGCTGCCTGCACGAGCATTTAGGCTAATTTACCCTTGTAAACTTATTCTGGTAAAACTTTCTTGCGTGGACAAGGCCTAAAGAGCTCCCCAAGGTTAGAGGCATCAGCATAACCCTGCTCTGGAAATGAACAACAGACTTTCTTAACCAGTAATGATCCACGGGAGCCGGTGATTTTTGTGCTGTCCTAATTAAATGAGAATCTGGCCCGGTGATACCTGTCTTTTTTTGCTTTTTGAGCAGTTTGGTCCCTGTGCTAGTTAAGGGCTTTTGCAGGGCTCCTGTTTTCTTGACAGGGGGCTCTGTTGTAGGATCCATGAGGTTTTACATTAAGGATCTCCTGCATAATATTCACATCAGAGATGGGGATGTTAAAATGTATTTCCCAAGTGCTGACCCAATTGTATTTCCCAAGTGCTGACCCAATTGCATGGCAGATCAAAGCACTATATCAGGAGGCTGGGGGGGGGAAGAGAAAAAGAGAAAAAAGAAAAAGAAAAAAGAAACCTCGGAGTTTTCTTGGACATCTTTGTTAACAGTTTTGAGTGAGTGCTGGTACTTATTCTGCAAAATTTACTGTAATATTTTTGGCATGGGTTGGGTGAACACAGACACTCACCACCAGCTGACTGATAATGAAAAAAATTTTAAACCAAAGCAAAAGCCTACACTGGTAGATCTTCACATGCAACATGCAGTTTGGTCAGCAGGATCTGCACCAGGGCAGGAGAAGAGAGTTTGTGCTGTAGAGACAAGATACAGCAGAATCATTATACAGCTTTTAACTCCCTTCAAAACCTTCTCTTATGCAGTTTATGTATATGCAGATTTTGTTTTCTAAAGAAAGAAACTTCTCTGCAAGTTTTTATGATTTTTTTATCACTTGTCCCCATAGGACATTTTTTATATCTTTTCTAGTGTAAATAAAAAGACACTTGTTCAATATAATCAAAGCTTTTGAAATTCATCCTAAATGCCTTTCAAAGTAACATAATGGAGACAGAATCCCCTAGTCATGGTTCCTTTGAGAAATAAAATTCTTATGGCAGTTAAAATAATCTATATTTTATTCTAATACAGGCCCAGAGACCTGAATTTTCAGGAAGGCCAACACCTTTATTTTGCAGTGACAGTAAAAATGAATAAGGTGCTATTAAATCTAAAGAGATTGTAACTCAAAGATACAGAGAAATGCAAGTCAGCCCCCTTCCAAATTCATGGTTTGTTTTGTGATAGCTCAGCTTGGGTTATAAAAATCCTTTGATTGTTCTGGCTTTTTGCCTTTGGTGCCTTTAGATCACACGTTGAAACTTTCTCTGCGACCAAGAGGTCAAAGGGATAGAGGAAAAAGATGAGAGACAGCGTTCTAATTGCTCCCCTCCACTAGCTGAGCTTGTACTGTCAAATATTGCAAGTGCTCTTGGCATCATGTCCAGGTAGTCAGTGATCGAGCTGCTTGAGAAACTGCTGCTCCGTGTTGCTCCTTGGGCAGGCTGCCTGGAAATTCTGGCAATTGCCTCATGATTTTCAGGATTGACTGCAGGGAGGGTGGGGTAGGGCAAGGAGGAAAAAATTGTGGAGGTGGGCAAGACCCAGCAGACAGCAACCTGACCTGACTCAGGAGGAGTTCAGACACCCAGAGTGCTGGTCTGACTGAGGGCTGTGGCCTCCACCGTCACAGCACCTCGGGGTTCACTGATCACACACACACACACAACAGTCACAGGGCTGAGCAAAACCAGCCTTTACTGTGCCATAGGATCACACAATTGTTTGGGCTGGGAGGGACCTTAAAGACCACCACCCTGCCCCTAGACCTTCCACTACACCAGGTTGCTCAAAATCCCATCCAGTCTGGCCTTGAACACTTGCAGGGATGGGGCATCCTCTGTAAGAGGACATTGCTCGGTAATGTCTCAGGTTTCTGCACGGAAGAAATCCAAGATCCTCAATGTAAGCAATGCCTCGCACAGCCCAGTCTCCCTCTGTTCAGATCTCTGCTGTGCTGAAGCTGCTTGCAAGAGTCCTGTTGATTTTCACAGGGTCAGGATTTCATTTCTTGTACCTGAATCTCAGATAAGACATGACAACTGCTGGATTCTTTTGTACTTGCCAGCTTCCCTCAGTCCATGTCTGTTAAATAGGAAGGACTTTCACAAGCAGAGAAATAATTGATGCAAATTAATAATGCTTATTCCTAAATAATGTTCTGTCCCATATCCGAAAGGCTCTTTCTCACCCCACACTTCACCACAGTGTTTCAGAGCAGTACCAAGTGCATGTTTCCAAACCTTGTTCTGCAGGCTCCAAAGGACCTGGAGAGACAGCTAGGCCAGTGGGAGACACTGGACTATCATTCTTGGTCATCTGTCCTCATCCCCCCACCGATGCTGCTGGCAAAGCAGCTCTCAGAACCTCTCCTTAAGCTAGTCCAGGCAAGATCACCTGATCATTTGATCAATTTCAACAGGCAAATTTAGTTAATCCATCTGATTGCTTTCTCCTGTGCACCATGGGACACTCCTGTAGGAGCACCAGCCTGGGCAGGTACAGCTAATCCTGGGCAAGGAAGGGTGTCCACAGCCACCAGTGCTTGCTCAAGGCTGTGCACTGAGATGTTGGCAGGACTATACAGAGCACTGAGGCATCCAGGCTTCCAGCAGCCCCCGCGGCTTCTTGGACAGTCTCCACCTCTTCCAAAGGTCAGGCTGCTTTTGCAGCTCTGCTCTGCAGGAGGTAGCAGGGGTAGATGCTCTCCTGCTGCTTTCCCTTGCCTCGCACATCTCCGTCAGCGTTCGCCAACTTCAGTTTGCCAAACAGTTTAGTCCAGGAAGGCACTCTTGTGACAGAGATCCAGAAAGCAAGATCCTACAGTGGGCCTGAAGACATTTGAAGCACTCCCTTGTGTGGAGGACACACTGTAGGAACTCTTCTGCTTCCGAAGGATGTCAATGCAGTCAATCAAATTATTTTATTAGAAGGTAACACACACTTTTCCATGCTGAGTTTACCTTAAGATAAAGGCCAGGCCATACAGTCATTCCTAAACTCACAGTACAGGGAAAGTTCAGCTTCCTTTTGGAACAGGATAGCTGTTATAGTGCATGGCATGAGTAAGGAAGAGTCACCACGTTCTGCCACTCCCACTCTCTGCAGAGATGGATTGAACAGTTGCCATAATCATTGACTGCAATAAACTACAGCAGAGTAGGAATGAGTAAAGCAAACGAAATCATACACTCATGCAATTTTAAAGAGCACTGCATTATTTAACTTCACTCAGCTACAACAACTGCAGGCCACCTTGGATAAATCGGGCCGTTTTCCAGGCTGCAAATGACCATGCTCGGAGTTACGAGTCAACTGATTAATTTTTGTAGCTCTGCTTTTGTGCCTTTAAAACAGGTTATCCAGAAGTCTTTGAAAACCAGGCTTGTAACTATATTGCCTTCCTGTCTCTTGGGGATTTACCAAAACTAGAGAAGCACTTTGATACGGCAGCACCAGGGCTATGAAACAACCCAGACAGAGAAAACAGATCTCATTCTGAAATGATAGGCTGGGAGGAGTTATTTAGTTTGACATGAAGGGGAGCTTCCCATTAAAAGCTTCTTTTCCAAGATAAGAATCTATGCATCATCTATATCTACCTGCCTTTTTCTTCCTCCAGAAGAAGATATGCATCAGCACCTGTGGACATTTTATGGGAGGCCAATTTTCACTTCCTTGAAGTGTTTTTGTAATTCTCTTGTTTCAACAGACAACTCCTGTGCCAAGAGCCGAGCGCCCCGGACGTGCACATAGAACCTCATGATTAAACAGTTACACAACCCAGAAAAGCTGCAGCAACACTTCTCCTCCTCCATCCCTGTCCCTCACTCAGTGCCAGTGGGCAGAGCCCATTAGGGTCCAGAACCTCCATCCCCACATGACATTCCTGCTGCTGACACTCTTGCCTGCAGCTGCCAGAACAATCGGAAGGCCGCGCGCTTCAGACCCTGTGCCGAGTCCTCAGGACTCTGCATGGTCATGACTCTTAATCCTGGCAGGGCTAAGCCTGGTCAGCTGGCCTGACCTGTGTTTTATGGGCCCGAGAACTTCATCAAGACTTCAGAAGAAGAAAGCAGGCAGCCAGCCATGCGGAAATCCGTGGGCAGGGAAAGCAGGAGGGTTTGTTGTGAGATCCAGCAGGTACCTGTGAGCCCCGCCGTGCACATCAGCGCTTTGTTTGTTTGGCTGCTGGTTGATGGCTGGAGGATTTCTGCCTGCAAACCAAGATCTTTAAGCAATAATTAAAAATGCATATTGGTCTGCCCTATGTTAAAAAGGGGTTATTTGTTTGCATGCGTTCAGAACGTGTTGCTGTGCTCCCCACAAGCACCAGCCATGCGTGTGATATTACGGAAAGGGAAGGAGGTGAAAGAGCCGTGCGTTGCCATGGCCTTTTCCAGCTGTCTTCCAAATCTTACGTTTGCAGACATGAAATGGATCATTTCTCCAAAAGAAACTAAACAAAGCCCAGGCAGTTGGATACTTATCTTATACTGGCTCCTAAATTCTGCCAGAAACCTTCTTTAGCATCCTAAAGCAGTACCCTCTTCACACTGCCCCCGCTCAGCTCAGAGGAATTTTAGTCCCACAGTGTAAGTAAGTTTATCTCACAACAACCCCCAGACAAGAGTTTGATTTCCAAGCTTCATCAATCATTAAACCACCCAAGACTGAAGGGTATTTTTAGAGATTGCCAGAAAGATATCTATATTTATGACACGTTGTTCTTGAAACAAACAATCAATGCATTTTCATGCAATTGCAGGGGTAGGGTTAGAAATGCAAGGAAAAATAAAGTCAAAAGTATCGTGGGAAGCTACTTATCACTTATGCATGATGCTAAACTCATCTCTGGTTCTGTAAGGCACTGGAAATAATCACAGATGTAGCATAACCTTTACACTCATTTGATAACATCCCAAACAAGAGCTTAACTTTGCACTAGTTTAGAAACGTCGTCTTTCATTAACCAGAGCTGGGCAGCTTCTGACCAGACAAATATTTTTGAAAAATACCAGGATTAAAGCTCCAAGAGGTTCTACAGATCTGTCTCTCTTCCAAATAATGCAGTAAGGCAGAAAGTGCTGCACATCTGTATTTTTTTTTACTCCATCCCTTAAGTCAATCCTTCAGAAAAATTTTTCAGAGGTCATTTTTAACAGGGAAAAGGAACCAAGTCAAAGAAAAGACTTCGGCAACTCTGGTTTCCCATGTGACAGTGTTTGGAGACAGAAACCTGAACAGTTCTAAGACATATGCTTAGAGACTTAATTCAAAATACGTAGTAAGACTGAACATGCATAAAAATTGAATACTGCTATATATGATAATTAAATACTTCCCCGACACAAATAAATTATCTATGCGATTACAGAACTTCTGAGTAGATAATTTATTTTAAATAGTTATTTTCAATAAGGAATAGTGCTCATATTTCCTTCTGTAAAAGGGTTTGTCATCAGAGAACCATTCCCAGTGGATAATCCAGAAATTTACACCTGGATGTCTGACTGGCACGACACCTGACTGCTTCCCCCACGGGCTTTTCCCTGTAGGTCTCAGTGCTGGTATTTTATTCCACTCTGCCTTGGCCTCAAGGTAGAAACACAACATTCACCCCACAAGAATTACATGTAAGCCTTAGAGCAGTGCCAAAATACAGCCCAAAAAGTTTTTGATTTTTCTAGGCCCCACAAATCCATTCTGGATTGGAACTGCCCTTTTACTCTAAGAGTCCAAGTGCCTGGTCTCCATTACAGCCTCGTTTTCCCCACTCCCATTTTAAGTGTCATCATTAAATGAATTGAGATGTCACCTATATGAAGCTAAAACTGCTTTCAAGTTCCTTGCCTTCCTGTCCTTCCCTGGCCACCTTTGGGGTAGATATATTAAAAATGCATTTTTTTTCCCCTCTTGTCACCCAAGACGGAATTGGGAAAGCTTTTAGTCCTCATCAGAGATTTAAATTTCCATTCTGTTTTAAATTTATGGAGACCCCCTTTTCCAGTGAATAAACACACTGGTGGAAAATTCCCGAGCATTTCCAACAACCATACACACAACACTGACTAATTTACCAGGTATCAGACTGCAAAGGGAGGGACCGTGTCCTTCTTATCCATCCATTCAAGAGCAGCAGACTCCAGTGTTGTTTATGTAAAGGTCCAGAAAATAAAAATACAGGCAGAAAGATGAGAATAAATTAAAATCTTTAAAAAAAAACCAAAAAAACAAACAAAAAAAAAACGTCTACAGAAGTCCCTAGGTGTTTGGATGCTGGAAACAGAGGTGGCAGGAGGAATGCCACCATTGTCCATTTTGCTCTCTGCAGCTCTCTTTAGACCTCTCCAGCAGATTTTTTATCCGTGCCAGCAGCTCCAGGGCACGGATCACCCCTGTCTGCGTCACTCATGTGGAGTCACCCTGCCTGATGCAGAACGGGTCGATGCATTGACTCTGCACCTAAAATACAGGAGCAGGTGAAAGAGGGCTTGGAGCCTTAGCTGTGTTTTCTGAGAAGGAGAGAGGCAAAGCTCTGAGAAGGACAACTCTTGGCCAGAAAAAACAGTCACCCAGATCCTTCCTTGGGCTCTTGCTTAGGCACTAAGGAGATGTTTTCCTCGACACCTTATTCTCTCTTCCCAAAGCAAGGCAGGGCACTTCTTTCCTCAAGCAGGAAGTCACTGTCTCCTCAAACAGAGCCACCCTGTCCCCTCTCACTCTTGGGTGCACTGTCTGGAGACCATCTGGAGCAGCCACCAGGTTTAAAGAGAATATGGTCCCTAAGCAGACAGTAATTCTTATGAGTCAGAGCCCTTCAGCCCCGTATTTTGAAGTTATATAAGCAAACAGATAAAAATCCCCTCTCAAAGATTATTGCCTACACCACAGACAGAAAGGCCCCAGTTCTGATTCCTTTGCGCTACAGAGTAGAAAACTTTTACACCTGAATTTGCCTCATGTGATGTTTGGAAGGAATGGCTTGCTATTACACAGGGAATAAGTGACTTAAAGAGAATGAGTCTCGCTGAGTGATGGTTTCTAATAAATGCCATTTGATTTTTCCTCAAGTGTATTTCTTGGAAAATACTTTACTTGCTCGGTTCCTAAGAAAAGCAATTTGCTGATGTTTGCCTGATCGTAAAATTGATTTGACCTTCTGCAAATAATCTGACATTCCAGCGTGCTGCTGAACCTTCGGAAGTGCATTAGGTTGTTCATACGGCACGGCTTTTTCCTGCTTATTCGGGACAACCTCTTTGTATGACTGATGGGAACACTTTCAAAGTCTTCATAAAAATAACTTTGAGGAACCAATCAAAGAAAATAAAGATTTGAAATTCCAATGGAATATGTAATAACACATTTCAGTGGACACAAGGAGGAATAATTATCTTTCAACCAGCTCTACTTCTAATACTTCTAATACCGTGAGTCTTGCACACTATGGCCCCCACTGCTCCCGAGCTCATTACATCCAGGTTTTTAGTTAGAATCAGTTGCAAGTGGCAATAGTCCATCTGTACCCGGTGTGACTTCAGAGAAACATGGTGATGTAATTCCAGAATGACCTGGATGAGTTAACTTAGCTCATGCCCTGTTCATTTGACAGGCATGTATGGGATGATGAAGAAGCCATCAATCCTCATATGGGAAGAAGGGGCACCAGACACGTGTGGGTTACCTGAGACAAAAACCTCTTGTGAACAGAAGAAACCTTTCAAGGCTCCACATAGGAACTGCTTATTGCAGCCAGGTACAACTGCATATATTGCATTTCTCTGACAATGTCTAGATGAGGGAGGAAATGTCTTTATAATGTTGTAGCCAATACAATTTTTTCCCTTAACATTGTTTTCACAATTTCAAAAACAAAGCCCTTGTTCATGGACACTCCTCACCAGGGTTGGTCATCGAGAGCTTAAAATGCGGGTTTAAAAGTGTGTGCTAATATTGTGGAGAACTCCTGCTCTCCCAGGCTGGACTTTTAATTAAGACTGCCTGGGTAAGACAGAGACAACATGTGCAGAATCAGCTCTGCAAAGCCCCCACTGTCCCAGCAATCACCTCAGCTCCCTCTTCCTGATATGGAAAATAAAATCCCACAGCTCCCATCAGCAAAATACAACTCAGTAACTGGCAGCACAGGGCTTTTATCAGAGGGCAGAAGTTCTCCTCCTGTTTTGCTCTTCGCCCAGAAGATACTGCTGCCTTAACATTCCCTGGAAAGAGGTTTGTTGTCAGGGCTAGCTGTTTGTTGGAAGAAAGACTTCCTGATTAGAAATAACCCTCTAATTAAAGCGTGGCCTTATTTACTTACACGCCACATTCACATATAATTACTTACTCAAGTTCTAAATTATGAACAATAACGTTTGGTTTTAGTTGCATGCTGCATCTCTTCTGCAAGACTGTCACCATTTGAAGATGTTGGGGTTTGTAGGAGCCTCCCCAGGAGGCAGACTCTGGCCCTGGGAAAGGGAGGACCCTGGCTGTAGTGTCCCAGTGCCTCTGGGTCGCTCACTCTGGGAATCAAAAGCCCTAAAGGCTGTGCTGAAGATGCCCTTTTTTTCTGGTATGTTAATGCTCTCTTTTGCTACCGAGCACAAGGTTGAAACAGTGTCCCTTTTCCATTTGCAGTTCTGTGTGTCACAGTCCTCTTTCGCCCTCTGACCTGTGCCCTGACTTTCCTGAGGAGAAGCCCAAAGCTCCTTGTGCTTCTGCTGAGGCCCAAAAACTGAGAGGTGAGACAGCACAGTCACAGCTTACATACCTGACAGAGGAAACCAGCACCTCCAGCACGAGCAGCTCTTAGCTCTGCTGGGACAAGGAAGGGTGACTTCCCTGTAAGGAAGAGGGATGGGAGAGGACCTTGGGAACAGATCCCTGCCCCCTCCAGCCCAGAGCTACCTTTCTGCATCAGTCTGGCCCCAAGGAGTCCAGCCCAGAGCATAGCAGTAGGTTTGGATTGGCAGGGACACAAAAGCAGCCAGCTCAGTCTCCAGCACTGAGGCAGAGCATGAGCTGCTCTCCAGCATCTCTGGAATTTAAGAGACACAGTAGTTGCTCTTAAAGGGCAAACCCAAAAATATCCTCTGTCTTGTTCATTGCTGGATCATCTCTCCACAGTTCCTGTATTCTCACTGCTGCAGGCTGTGAAGGTTCTTGAATTACATTTACTCCAGCCCATGGCTAGGAAAGCCACAGAAATGGTGTGTTCCTCAACATCTCTGCTTGAGAGAAAGTACCCAGAGCCTACTGAGATTCACTGATCAGGGCCAAGAGAGAAAATAGAAAACAATAAAACAAAAAGCCAGACAGGACATGAGATGATCTCCCAGTGTCCCCACAGGTTCATCTAGTCTTCTCTCACTAAAGAGAAGGGCCCTGGCTCTCCATCTAACGCTGCCTTCGGGTGTCTGGTTCTCAGCAGCATCTTTGGCGTTCCTGGGTTCTGGATCAGGGCCATCAGGCAGGCTCTGGATGCTGTGTGAGATATAAAGGTGAATAAATCCTGCTGCCCCCTGCACCATGTCACCAGTGGCTGCTGTAGCAGCAGGGATGAGGCAGGAAAATGGCAGCAGAAACGAACTCAGTTGAAATGAGTGAACAGCACAGAGAGCTAAAACTCTCCTGATGTCTTTCAGTCAGGAAGGAAACATCTGGAGAACCACAGGATAACACTGTCATGACACAAGGAAAAAGTGCTACGGGCAGGAGCACAACTGGGATCAGAAGCGACAAACTCCTGGCAGCAGAGGATTATGAGTGGTGACTTCAATTGCCAGACAACGACAAACTGTGGATGAAGACAAAAAGCACCTCTGGAACTGTGAGAAAGGTCTCCCATTCCTTTGCAAGTCTAATCTGTAAGAGAACACCGAGACAGGGAAATTTGGGGTTGTACAGGACAATGCTGTACTGAACACACTCTGATATGCAGAGAGGAAAAGACATCTGAGGTGAAAGGAAATAAAGGAAGAACTCTGCTGGGAAGAAAAATGCTAGGGGTTGGTTTTCATTATCTAAAGCCACAACTCAGAACTGTCTGACTGATGATAAGAGATGTCACCCACCCAGGGAGCTGGATCCAGAGAGGAAAAGGCAAGCTTTCAAAACAGCTTCTATAAGACATTAAACCAGCTTAATATCAAGCCAGACTGAAAACAAACATTTTAATACCAGAACATCAAAGCACTGAGAGAGAACATGCTAAAGCAGAAAAATCCTGAATTAAAAGCTTGGGGTTTTAGTCTTTACACATTTGGCAAGTAACCAATTAGATGAATAATGCCAAACCCATATATTCTGCAGAAGGTCCCCTAAAATGTTTCCTTTAGCCAGAGCCCTGTTTTGAGCCAGAGTTGTCAACTCCCTCAGTGCATAATCCCATTCTGTGCACACAACCCTGTGCAATTTCAGCTGATCACCATTATTTTCTCCTCCAGATTATTGCAGTGGATGTGTGGGGGCTGTTGCCTTTCCCCCCAAAGAGGCTGTCACTCAAAGGATGGCCCCTGCTTGTTTTATACACGCAGGAGTATTCACAGTCTGAAATGAGGGACATTATGAGAGCAAAGCTCCTGAAGACTTCAGTGGAGGTTTAGCTTGCCTGAGGACTCAGGGATGGCCTACATTTGTTTATAAAGCTTCCCAGTCCACTGGGATACAGGGATACTGCGTGCAAGCATAAAATTATGACTGTGAGGCAATACCACCAGGAGATAAATTATAATATAACTGCACTTAAAAGTATGTTTAACACAAATTAGTTATATCAAACTAACACTGAAGTTATAGACTGCTGAAGCTGACTAAGGGATCTGAATGCCCAGATGCTTTTAATTTGAGTGGGAATGAGGGATTTGAATTCCTTAAATAGTCTTGAATGTTTCATCACTAACATATAACACACAAAAAAGTAAAAATTAAAGTAACTGGCTCTCTTCAAGCCTACAAACCCAGCTAAAAGACTTTGGCAACATCTTTTGGGACGCACTCTCTCAATCATCCTACTATTACAATTAAAGGTTCAGAAATTCCTGAAAGGGTTCCAAATCTGGATGAAAATCTTCAGGGAAAAAAAACTCAATTCCAACAAATACACACAATAGATCACTTTGATTAATTTAATAAAAATGGAGTTGGGCTATAAGTTTTGGCACCAAATCCTGTGTCCTACAACTCAGAACAGAAACAACTGATGACCCAAGACTTGTTCTTTCTCCCCAGTCTCAACTGCAATACTTCCATCTTTTAACCTTTTGAAGAAAGCACAGAATTGGACTTCAACTGTGACACATTTTCCTGGTCAGCACTCTAAAATTATTTCCTGACAGAACCAAAATGTTAGTGGTGATGGAGTAACAGAGGGAAGCTGGTTACAACAACACAACCTTCCACCATTTTAAATTATGTTAATAATCTGCAGGCCAATATTATTCCTTTATGGATGTCTGCAGGCCTGTCAAAAGACACTAAGAGAGCATTCTCCTGGGTTACCTGTGTCTTTCTCTATTTTGGGGGATACTTTTCTCCTGACTTCCCTCTCCAGAGCAGAGGTCATTCCCACAGACATCTCCACAGAGAACACTGGGAGGTGTTTAAGGTGGCCTGAGGCAAGAAATTTCCCTTCACGTGCTTATTGTATTCAAGGGAAAACATTCAGGGGATGACAAAGAGGAAGGAGAGGGCAGGGAAGCAAAATAATGATTAGTGTAATGGGATTTGCTATTCTTGTTAACAGTTTAATCAATATAAACATTAACAGAACCCTCTTACGTGCTTGCCATGCTTTATATTTAGCTCAACACCGGTAAGCCACGGTTAGTATTGTCTGCATCTCTACCACCCACTGACTTCTGCAACAAAGCCTTGGTAGATCACACACACAGGGGGATCCTGCGCTTCTCACAGACTTTCCTTGAAGGAATGACTTGCCAGCAGCCCCCGACTCGAGAGTTCATCAGTGGGACAGGGAAGAGGAGCTAAAGATGGAAAACCAGAGAGACACAGAGAGACAGGGCAGAGCTGTCAGGGTGGGACAGCCCCACTCCTGGGGAGGTCCCCACGCTGAGGTTGGCGGTACCACAGTGGCTTTACTGAGTTTTGCCCCAGAGCAGATTCATTTGCTATTTCATACCTTGTCATTTATGAGGTATTCTTGGTGTCATCCCCCAGGACAAAGCATGTGTTCTAAGGAGCCACAGGCCCTCCTTACTATCCTTATTGTTTAGCTTGATTTTAGGCCGAGAGAGAAAGTTTGCCTTAACTTTTGCTTTCATCTCTCTAAATAGTGCTCAAAGCATGTCTAAACATCCTACTGGTGTATCAGCAGAAAGCTCATTTAAAAGGCTTATAACTGACTTTGAAATAAGCTGAGAGAATCCCCAAATTGACAAGTGCAAAGGAGGGGGGGGGGGATAATCTCTACCAAAGGCAGATTTCCCTGCAAAACAGCTTTACCCACTGCAGAGCCTGAGGGCAGGGGGGCACTTCCCCCGTCCAAAATCCTGTCCCCACAGCCTCCCAGCAGGGGAAGTTGTGCCATTTATAGATGCTCGTCTGTAATAGTGACTGCCACAGGCAGCATCTGTCTGAGGAGCCTGGATTCCATGTTCCAGAGCACGGGAACTCGGAAATTGTAGTCACAAGATTAGTTTGCTGTAATGTGTCTAATTTATTTTGGTATTTCCTAGGGGGAAAAAAAAAAAAAAAAAAAGGGCAAAAATAACTATGGGCAGTGCTGTTGTATCAGCTCTGAGAAGCAGGAAAAAAACACAACTGGAAAAAAACAATGTCTTCTGGGTGGGTGGGTTATCTTGGCCTTTGAAATATTATTTTTTCAAATAAGAAACAACCCTCAATTTTTTCCATTGTGCTTCTTGGATGCACTTTGCACTTCTCGGTATCACAGGTCAACTCGTGCCCAAGGCAGAGCCTGAAATACCTTTTCCCACCGGAGCTCCAAGGCTGTCACCACACAAACAGATCCAAACAGATGCAAATACTGACAACTCAGCAACACAGCAAAAGTTACATCCTTCCAACGAGAATTTGAATAATAATAATTCCATCTTGCTTGGGGCCAGCAGAACAAGCCTCAAACACTGATCAAAACCTTAAATACCCAGTGCTGTGGCTGAATCTTTGTGTCAGGAGAAGTCTCCCACTCCTTTGCCTCTTTTCCAGTGTATGACAGAGCCTGCCCCCTGGATGGGCAGCACAGTGAAGCTGCTACAGCATTACAGAGGGTGACATGTGGAAAAGAGGGAATGCTGAAGGGTCTGGAGTCCTAATCCACTGTTCTGAGAGCCACTTATATGCCAGACAAGCTTTGGGTAACTCTGCTGACCCATCATCTCACAAGATTTGAACTTCAACATCTCTGCCAAAGCTTACATGCAAACCTGAACACTTTCAAGAGTCTGGATTTAGGAAACTGAGGTCAAGCCCATCAGAAGTGGGTTACTGCACCAGGTAGTCAGTTGTCCTAATGAAGGGAACCTAATGAAGGAAACTGCTTTCTCAGGAATGAGTCCATAAGGTCAGAAGCTGAGCAAAGTAACAGTCATCTTGGTTCTTCCATATTTGTTGGAGCGCAAGAATCAGTTTCTTGGTTGACAGACCAGTAAGTGCTCTATATTGGATAAATAATGGAGTGAAGCAAGAAGTAGCTGACTTAAAATGTCCTGGTAGATTTTAATATCTGTTTTCTTGTAAATTAACAAGTGACTACCTGAAGAGAACTTCCAGTTCCTGCAGGTAAAAGGAACGGGGCTTTCCAAGGGAACACAAATCACCATGACTTCACTATCTCATGGACCGTGAAGACAATCAGAGGGCTGGAGCACCTCTCCTATTGAGACAGGCTAAGGAATTAGGGTTGTTCAGCCTGGAGAAGAAAAAGCTTCAGGGAGACCTTAGAGCCCCTTTAAGTGCAATAAATAAATCTGCATTCAGCAGAGGGACAGTTCAATGGCAAGCTGGTGATGGTGGATTTTTACCACATCTCCACTTGCAAACAACCTCCTGAATTCTAATCCTGCCCAGTGCACTCAAAGCTTTCCCAGTGTGATACCAGCTGAAAGTTTAAACTGCATGGTCTTGCTTCCATCAGCCAGATCCCATATGGAAGCAAAAGACACGGACACAAAAGGGAAACCCCCTCAAAAACATCATTCTATCAGTTTTCCAAGCAGTTTTGCACCCAGGTATTTTCACCCATTCCACTCTTACTAGAATGCATGAGAAGCAGACTCAGAATTCAAACCAGACCCTTGCATCTCAAAAATGTCTGCCTGTTACTCATCTCCTCGTTTCCTTCTAGGTGCTCACAAATAGCCTGGTTGGTTGTTCCGGTGCTTTTCCAGGAACTGGAGTTAAGCTGACAGGTCTATAATTCCAGACTTGCTTGTTAGCACCACTTTGGGGCTGACAGCTCCAACCTGCACACAATTCTGCTGGGCTCTGCTCCAACAGACCACTTTGGCACATATTTAATTAAGAGTGAGAGACATCTGTGGCTGGAGAGGGTTTGAGTCATGCTTAATGCTACACGTGCTTGGATACTTTTCTAGTTCCTAAGAATGGATATATTAAAAAAACATCAACAAATAAGCAATAAAACCCAACACACCAAACCTAAGCAAAGCAGTGTTTTCATACAATGCTTACGACTTCAGGAATGCAAATGCCAACAAATATTAAACATCAATTTCCACAGATGAGTGATAACCCTGAATCACTCTGATACCCTGTGATCATCTCCACTGCAGTGACTTCTGTTACTATTATGCTGCTTTATTCTCTTGTTTTGTGAGATCTTCCCCAAATCTCCCTTATCTCAATACCTGCTACATTACGCCTCCAGCATGCTCTTCAAGCCTTATTAGTCCTCTCTTCTAGGGAGCTAATTAATTGATTAGATGTCACTTAGTCTGTCACAAAGTGCTATTGACACCTCTTGCAGCAGCTTTCTGTGCGTTCCAAGTGTGTTTTTATGCTTCTGAAAGACAGAGGACTGACAGCTCTGGAGAGCAAGACCAATCTCACTCCTAGGCCAGCTCTGTCCAGACCAGTTCACACCAGCAAAGCTCTTAAACCCCATGCTTCCCCTCCCAGCTTCAGGATTACCTGGAGCAACATCCCAGAAGGAAGCAGTGTGTTGAAGAAGCTCAAACATACATTGAGATCAGGACACAATGATGGGACTCCACCAGAGTCCTCTGCTGCTCTCCATTGTCTCCTCCAAGTCCAGGAAGCCTTTTCTGAGCCCCACAAAGGGCAGTTTGCTTACACATAGCCCTGGATCTGCTGCTGCTGCTGCTGCCTCATCAAATGAACCACTTACACCTGTTGAGTGGGCTGGACTCTCCCCACTGTTGGTCAATCAGCTCTGCTCCACGGGATTGCCATTCCAATGGACAATTCCCATTTGAACAGAGTCACCTGCATCATCAGGTGCTGAGTCCCAGCCCTTAACTCCCATCCATGCTTTGCTCTACTAAATTTTCCCGTTTCTGCTTGTTCCTTGCTTCTGAGCCCAGCATGGATGTGGGCAGTCAGGTGTCCTTCCACACCTCTTCCAGCTTCCTTCTTCCTTCTCTCCACATGAATCATTTCCCCAGCTCATTGAAGAGACCTCAAAGCACTCTGCTTATTCCAGACTAAATTTATCTTATGCATACAGAACTGGGGAGGAATTCCAGCTACCAGAGCTCTCTTGCAAGCTAATTATTCTTCAAAGAAGTTTTAGGCGGTCCCAGGGAACATCTAACTATTGATTTTCTACTCTGTATAATTTCCCTGCAAAATGTAATCATTCTCCTCCTGTCTCACACTGTCATTTGTCTCTCAGAACAACCTGGGAACAATAAAAGAGCGGAATAGAGGGCACCAAGAAGGGCACTGTCAAAAAAAAAAATCTCTGTACAAGCAGAGCCTGTAAAAGCAAACCCAAGAAATGTCTGTAGACCTTGTTTAATATTCATCAGCCAGTGCAGTGTGTAACTGAAACCCAAACGTAACTGTTAGGAAAATTCAGGCTAGAAGGAAATCAAATGGAGCCAGCATTCTAAAGATGCTGGCATTTCAGAGATTCTCATTTCTGGGCTTCCAGCATCAATGTACCACAGAGGGAAATGTTACCGAATGTACTGGTGCTTACAAATGGCTCCATTTGTATATAAATTCACCTCTTTAAAAAAAAAAAAACAAAATTGGAGAAAGGGAGTCGGCAATAAGAGACTCCAAGGAACTGGCCTAGTATAAATCTATTGCTAACAGGCGATTTTATGGAACAACAAAGTAAAAGTGGAATTGAGACCAGCAAATCTTAAAACCCCTGTTGTGCAATATTAAGCTGGGTTTTTTTTTTCCTCCATCTCCCTGCACAACAAAGCACTTGGCACGTGATTAACTTCAAGAAAGCCTTTTGGCTTCAAAATTTAGCACCTTTACATATACCTGTGTTCTGAATGCTGAGTGTTCAGGCAGATACTGACTTCCATGCTGCTGTTTAATTCCTCTGTGCTTGCAGGATAAAACCCAGCCTGCTTAAGGACACTATTGAATAATTCTTTGGCACTGCCCAGTGAACTGTCTGGTGAGGGCTGGGCAGCCTCCAGAGGGGCCAGAACCACTGTCATCATAATCAGACAACACAGCAAGGGAGATAAGGGCTTGTGAGGAGAGAACAGGGAGAACAGAGTAGAGCAGTGTTGCTTTGCCCACGTCCCTGCTGACAAGACACTGTGATGTAACCTAAAGCC